CATTATTTATTAGAAGCTTGGTTTACATATACAGATGTACTGAATGTAAATTTTTAATGTACAACCAAAGGTCAGGGAAAGCAAAATGTCTTTCTTCAATCTCTTCAAATGGCTTAAAGATTATTTCCTTTGGTATTTAAATGCTGATCAAGCAGAATACATTTCCTGAAAAGGATTTGAATTTGCTCTCCACTGAGGGATTTCCCTAGAGGCTCTCTTCAGACAAGAGTGCCATTAGTCTTCCTTATTACAACCAAAGGGGGCAAAAGAAATGATACTTCTATTTCCTTTCTGCTACTTTCTTAACACTGCATCACATTTTTGTTATCTATTTATTCGACTTCTCATTATCTTGAACAACTAACTGCAGCATTCCATACACTTCCCGCCTAATATATTGTAATGTCTGTGAAGAGATGTACCTTTTAACACTCCTAAAAGCTTAAAAACACATCATAGCCTCATTCAAATCTAAATTTTATTTAGAACTTTCTCTTTTTGTCATACTTTCTTGAGCTTCTACTTCTTCTGTTTCTGAACATACCTTTGCCTTTATCCTACACTTAAACTGTCTAGTCTTTCTCCATCACTAGCCCATAGTTTTCCTTTCTCTTTCATTTGTTTCCATCTTAGATGAGTCTGTACGTTTAGCCCTTATACTGATGTTTCAGGCCTCTTCTCCTCTCTTCATCCTTCATCTCTTTCATCTTTAACTTTAGTTTACGACAGAAGAAAACCTATTCTGTGTTATATTAGACATTCTGCTGGGTGCTTTGGATATAAAAACAAACACCTATCTGACTCCTGGAAAAAGAGAATCCCAGACAAAGGCAAGCAAAAATAAAGAACATAATATATCTGGAAAGTTTTATACAATTTTATAGATCTATGTTAAGGAATGATTAAAGATACAGTTTGGATTTTAGGAAGTCAAGAGCTAGATCACAAACTAGAACTTTTTCTTGAGAATGTTAATAATAATGGGAATTACATAACTCCATTTGAGTTTTCAAAAGCCACTTTGCAGGGTAAGGTTTGAAGGATAAAAAGTTCAGAAACAGATAGACGATTTAGGGGCTATACTGCTAATTCTAGAAAGACATAATAGAAGCCCACAAACAGTAGGAGAGAGATTGAAAAGAAAGGGAGAGATGATAAAAATTTAAGAAACAGAATGAAAAAGACTGTTTAATCAATTAAGGGCTATGAATATTAAGAAAAAAGTAGAAATTCAAATTAACTCTAAGTTTTCCAATTTGACTTTCCAAAATGAGCAGTAATTCTAATCAGAGAGGTGGGAAATACAGAGAAAGATCATGATTTTTAAGAATGTGAGATAATGAGTCTAATGTCTGGCTTGTAGAGTTTGGTCCATCTACACAGATGTGTCCAACAAAAATCAAGCAAATTGAAGTAAGTCAGAAAGAGGGAGACAAATACCGTATGCTAACACATATATATGGAATTTAAGGGAAAAAAATGTCATGAAAAACCTAGGGGTGAAACAGGAATAAAGACACAGACTTACTAGAGAATGGACTTGAGGCTATGGGGAGGGGGAAGGGTAAACGGTGACAAAGCGATAAAGAGGCATGGACATATATACACTACCAAACGTAAGGTAGATAGCTAGTGGGAAGCAGCCGCATAGCACAGGGAGATCAGCTCGGTGCTTTGTGACCGCCTGGAGGGGTGGGATAGGGAGGGTGGGAGGGAGGGAGACGCAAGCGGGAAGAGATATGGGAACATATGTATATATATAACTGATTCATTTTGTTGTGAAGCTGAAACTAACATACCATTGTAAAGCAATTATACTCCAATAAAGATGGTAAAAAAAAAAAAAAAAATCAAGCAAATGGAGGCATTCAGAAATCTGATAGAATAGATAGACTCTCAGATGGCTTCCAAGGATCTCTGCCTCGTGATATCCATACCCTTTTGTGACCCCCTCCTCTTAGATGTTGGCTGGACCTAGGACTCATTCTAAAATATAGAAGACTGCAGAAGGGGTGGTATATTAGTTTCCTGTGGCTTCCATAACAAACTACCACAAACTGGATGACTTAAAACAACAGAAGTTTATTCTCTCATAGTTTTGGAGGCCGGAAGTTTGAAATCAAGGTGTCAGAAACACTACACTTCCTCTGAAGGCTCTAAGGGAGATTTTATTCCTGCCTTTTCAGGGCCTGGTGGCACCAGGTGATCCTTGACTTGTGGTCGCATCACACCAGTCCTTGCCCCTGTCCGCACAGGAACTTCTCCTTTGTGTATGTCTCATAAGGACACATGTTACTGGATTTAAGGCTCCTCTAGTTAATCCAGGATGTTCGCACTCAAGATCCTTAATTTAATTACATCTACCGTCTTTACTCTTTTTCCAAATAATGTCACATTCACAAGAAACACAGGTTAGGACTTGAACATATCTATTTGGAGGCCATCGTTCAACTCACCACAAATGGGATGACACTTCCTAGATTTGATTATAAAGGAATGCGGTTTCCATAATAGGTGAAGCAGCCCTATATAGAGAGGCCCTCCATGGCTGAGTCTGGAAGTGGACCCTTCAGCCCTAGTTGAGCTCTGAAAGGACTGCAGCTGCAGTGGACAGCTTGACTGCAACATCACAAGGGACCTACAGCCAGAGGCATCAGCTAAGCTGCACCCAGATTTGTAGCCCACAGAAAACTGTGAGATAATATATAAGTACTGTTTTAAGTGGCTAAGTTTTGAAGTGATTTATCATACAGCAATAGAAAACTAATATGGAGCTCACAAAAACGTCTAGACTAGGACAGCAATGATTAAGAGACAAGCCATGGAAATGGATTAAATTTTGCATTTAAGAAATATTTGTGGAGTATCTATGAAACCAACATTGTGGTGAGTTTTATTTAGATTTCAATTTATATCTGTAATGATAAATGACAACCCAATCCTCAAGAATCATAGTCTCAGGAAATGATAGACAAAACCACGATGCATGATATGACCAAGGAATGTAAATGGTATTATACAGGTACATAATATAAGGGAGAAAGATCTTGTCCCGGTTCCAAAAATCAGGAAAGACTTTCTGGAGAAGTTGAATTCTTAACTTCCACAAACTTACCTACTTATAACTATGTGTTAACAAAGTTCCCTTTCCTTCCAACAATGCAAAATTTAAGGCACCTCTAAGTGGTAAGGACAATTTTCCTGTCCATTACACTAAGACGTCTATAATAAATTTATTTAAGCTCTTAGGGCAAGAACATATATCCACTTTTGTGATTGCTGGAAAGGCTAAAGCTAAATTATATATACAGTGGTTATGAATAAAATCAGGTCTTCATTTCATATGTTTTGTTTGATGTAACTTATTTTTACTCTTATCATATTTGTACTTTTAAGAAAACTCATACCGCTTTTCATAGTAAATAAATGGATTCTCAATTACATAAGGAATTGCAATGAAATTTTAAAATGCTATGAGGGCTCCAGCAAAGGTATGAGCAAAAAGCAGTGAGAGAGCAAAGCAAAACTAAACCTATTATTTTACCATGACAAAAATCTTACTTTTGCTTTTTTTTCCCCCATATCTATAATGCCAGCAACATGCCACTCTTGCCTAAGATAAAAGACCCTCTCCTTAACCTCCCACCACTTCTACCACTGCTTTGTTTTCCATTTACACTACTTTCACCCTAAAGCTTCATTGATTCCTGTTTGAATTCTTGCAAAGTTTAGAAACATTGCTTCTAGTGTAACCTTGATCAGACTCGATGTCTTTGGGAAAATCACCTCAGTTGATAACCCAGTACCTGCATCTCAATATAACTAGTTACCAATTAATCTTACCTTGAATATGATTAAATTGTTACACTGTCATGGTGTATTATATTCCTTTGTTTGCCACACATGTCTCACCCACTATACTATAAGAGCCTCAAGAGTGAGGATTATGTCTTCTTCATCTTTTTTTCTACAGTTCCTACCATAGTGCCTGGCACATAGCAAGTGTTTAAACAGCTATTGATAAAAATAAAACAGAAAAGCCTACAAATTATTCTCCCTCCCTTTGGGTTTGCTCTCTCTTCATTAGTCTAACACACAAATCACTTCCAGATTAAGCTGCTTAGGATAAAACATGGATCATCTTATTCCCCTGCAACTGTCCCTCATCATATAATGATGAAATATAAATGCCATAGTACAGGAATCCAAATCACAAGAACCTACTTGCCACTACTCTGCTATATCTACCACATGCTTCCAATTTCCCGAATATCCCCTGGCTTTCTCAGCTCTGTATCTTTACTCCAATTGGCTGTCCATTTAAATGTTCACCTGCCAAAGTGACTAGGTTTGTTAGGGAAACTCGGTTTTGTTAGGGAAAATTTTTGAATGAAAAAATATAAGTCAACGGGTCTATAACTCATTATCACCTTCTGGAGGTAAATTCAGCAATAAGAATAAAAAGCCCTTAAAATATTATAGCCATTGAGCCAGTGATGCTAATTTTAGTAACATTTAGCATGCAAAATGAGCACTATATATATATGTATGTATATATAAATATATATATATTAATTTATCCATAAGGATATTCTGAGTAATAAACCCAATCTAAAAATTTTTTTAATCATTTATGTTTATATTAACAGATAACAATGAAAAATATGAAGCATTAATTCATATTCCCAAAGAGAACAAAATAGATTTGTTATAAAAATAATAAATTCAACAAAGAATATGTATATTAGCCTAATGTTGTTTAAAGGAAAAAAACAACAAAACAAAAATCAAATGCTATAGAACAAACAGGTAACAGAAGTTGTTTTTAGAAAACAGACTCATTCACGATTTCAATTTTATTTTGCTTTTATGTATTTTACCATTCCATAAAATAAAACTATCTTTTTAAATAATCAGTACAAAGTAAAAATTTTTTTATAGCTTCAAATCTTTTTTCCAAATGTTATTAAGTATATAAATAACCAATCACTTATTCTTACCTGGGTAGGTATGTTCAAATATAGTTGAAGGAATATGCAGACACTTGACTTTCAATCATCCAGTTCCCATCTGAATTTGCCTTCAATTACTTTCTCTCTTGTGTATATCAGATGAAATTACACATAACTAAAAATAAAATTAAAATTGGACTCAGTAGAATTAATCAATAATTATATTTATGTGTATTTTAATTTAGTTATTACAATGCATATTCTAAAATTCCAATTACATTTCTTGTGAAAGTTCAAGAAAGTTACCCAGTAACAGGAAAACAATGGTAAAGCATGTTATTTTTTTGAAAAGGTAGAGTAACAGATTGTTAGATAAGGGCAAATAGTAGGATTGCTAGATAATGAGTTAAATGTTTTAACTCATGGATATGTTACTATTAAAGAACAGTGATGGTTGGTTGACCATATACCCCCTTTCTCCCTCAGGCTGTACGACAACTAGGCCCAGCTGTCTCCTTCACTTATTAGCTAATTAGACTAACCAAGTGCATACTCTGTCCTGGATTAAGAAGGTGAAACAGAATTTTAGAAAGCACTGATCTATTTTAACTTTCATTGCACTTCAACTGCTATGGAGAAACATTTAGGTAGCTCATCCTTCTATTTATTCTCATGCTATAACTAGAACAGACACAACGGCTTGTTAAGATTCTTACATTTTTATTCCAACACACAAAAGGAAGAAGTCCTTCCAGATGCAACAGCACAAATTATGCCTTCCCTTAATTCCATCATTTCAAATGGACCTCTGAACATAAATTCAAAAGCAGCAAAAAAAATTCATAGTATAGTATTTCTTCTTGCCAAAACAGCAAAAATATCCTTTTTTTTTTTTTGAGGGGGAGGAGGAACACAAGTACAAAAACATATCAAACTCTTTTGTTGTGTCTCCCTCCATAACTCTGATACAGACCATTGGTAAAGCCAGACCTGTACTTTTTTTTTTTTATGCGGGCCTCTCACTGTTGTGGTCTCTCCCGTTCCGGAGCACAGGCTCCGGACGCGCAGGCTCAGCGGCCATGGCTCAAGGGCCCAGCCGCTCCGCGGCATGTGGGATCCTCCCGGACCGGGGCATGAACCCATGTACCCTGCATCAGCAGGTGGACTCTCACCAACTGTGCCACCAGGGAAGCCCCAGACCTGTATTCTTGACTTTTTCAAATTATAGACTAAAGACAGATCTTTATTTCTGACTCTTTGTATCTGACCCATCTGAATACCCTGAAATTATCTTTTTCTAACTTAGCTACAATTTTCTTTAGAAGCCTGTTTATCTATTTGTTCACCATATTCTTTTTCATTTTCTATCGTAACTTTAGAGATAAAGAAAGAAGGAATCTTAGTTTAGGAGGCCCCAGAGGCACATAATTCAAGTAAAAAAAGCTTATTTGGGAGATGCTAAGGGAGTGGGATTATAGGCAGATCATCAACAGCATCTAGCAGAGAAAGCAACGATTGTAAAATCTGAATTAAAATATGAGCAGGGTATATTTTAAGGCCATTTATAGATATTTTATAATGTTAGTGAGAAAAATATTTATCTACCCAATGATGCTGTTATTTATTAAATCATAGGCATGGTATTCTCTTAGCATTGACTCCTAGGGTATATATAAATGATACAACTCATCTTATCTTTCCTCAAAATGTAAAGGCTGCATTATCACCTACTTCCAGCTTTAGAAATAGATCTGCTCATCCTGGACAGGAAATTTCAAACACGGCACAGCTAAAAGGTAGCCATGAAACTGTGCCATGATTTCCAAAGTGATTAACCAGATCATTTTTTCTCTTTTGTCTGCTTGGGGAAGGGGGAGAAAAAGGAGACAAAATTAGTTTTTTAGTGTAATGGTTATTTCCTTATTTATTTTGTGCAAATGTTGGTCTAATGGAATGAAATAAGAAAGAAATCACCCAAGATAACATAAGTAACTTTGTTTAAAAAAAAAACTGTTTAAAAAAAATCCCATTCCAAACAGTATAGCAAAGTAAATATTTTCCTTAAAATGGTTGACTCAACTTATGCCCACAGCATTTATTTCTATCTCAGATTGACTGAAATCCATTCTTACTGTGGAAAACACTTTTCAACCTAGAATATTTTATGCAATGTGACAGCATAAAGAAGAGCACAAAAATACCCACATCAAAAAACAAGAATGAACTTGTGCCTACTTCTATCTTTCTTCTTGCAGGAAATTGACATATACTCTGAAGTGGATGTATTATTCCACCGTCTGATATGATTAGACTTGGTCATTTAAAGAGCACTTTAAATATTCCTGCAAAAAGTTAGATAAGCTTATGAGCTGCTCTTTTGAACATATTTTTATTTTAAAATATAAAATCTTGATTTCCAATGTGAATGATTCTTAAAATTTTAGTATGAACATAACACACTCAATTTTATACTGTTTTGCCACCATTTATTACATATTATGAAATTTGAAGAGGTACATGAAATTAAATGAAGCCAACCATTTCTTTACCAAAACCTTCATTTTTTCCAACAGTATTAGTTTAAGAAAACCATTATGAACATTGCAATATGACTAGACGCCTCTATTTGTTAATGCAACACTTGTATCTTTAAATATTCCACACACAACAAAACCGACCTAAACCAACAAGCCAGGTTTAAAGGTATTTTTACTTGTCTTCTTCCTTAAGAAGATGGAACCTGTGAACCATCAGTTTAGAAGTTGTCCAATGAAGAAATTGGTTGGCAGAGGGAACATCATAAGCAAAGGTATAGTAATAAGAAAGAACATGCCACCTTTAAGGACAGGCAAGTGGTCAGGTATATATGATTTGAAAATAGAATGCTTATGAAACTATTTTATAAGAAATTTTTGCAGTAAGGTAAGACCATATCAAGAAGCCTCCTGAATGCCATGCTAAAATTTGGATTTTATCCTAAAGATGACATGAGTATGATAAAACAGGGAAGTGGTGCAAGAAAATGTATTTTAGGTCGACCATGTGGTAAATGTGGCTCTGAAGAGACCATGAAAGGGAGAAGGTGAGACAAGTAAATGTTTCTTAGAAATTTGTATATATTTGTTAAACGGCAATGCAAAATAGAAATAGACTCAAGGCATTCATATTTGTAAGATGTAAAGGGGGAATGGTGCTTGGGATTTAATTTAGGTAAGAAGAGAGCAAGACAAGACAACCCTGATCCAGGCCTTTCCTATTCTCAGAGATGTCAGTCTGAACCAAGAATTGACATCATTCCTTTTTTGTTCCATGTGCATTTTAAGTTCTCCACTCTCAGAATGGTGAAGAGAAAAGTGATAGAGGATGAGACATGACAAACTATTTCAGAATTAATATCAATTTTAAATTCACCAATTTGAAAACAAATTAAATCTAGTTCATTCCTCTACATTTGACATGAAACTTTTAGCAGTGCTTTGAAGCTGTCACCAGCAGGAAATTTTCCTAATTAGAAGAAGCAGGAGAACAATTATCAAGTCATTCACTCTTTCTGCTGCAATCAGTGGAAAACCCAAGCAACTTTCTGTGAAACTTTTGGTTATTATATTTTTCAGTATAAATAGGTTAAGGTGAAGTCTTTGTTCTTTTTAACATTAACTCTTCACAAACTCTGACCTCTCAAATATTTAGAGCCTTTTATGTAAAACACAGCATAGGCACTAAGATGGATTCGAAGTAGTGACAACTGGCCCCAGACTAAAAATTTACTTGAGTTAATGAATGATGTATGGCAGAGTGAAATTCATACCAGGGTATAGTAACTTTTTAATGCAATGGGAATTTGAGGAGGAAAATAAATCTGACTAGGGAAAAGAATGGAAATCTCAGCAATGTTTGGAGGAAAGAGGGGGGGGGGGAAAGGAAAAGAAAGAGCAAGAAAGAGCAAAAACAAGAGCGAGAGCTAAAGGAGAAAGAGCATTTCTCCTTCAATCAGTAATCAAAAGTTCTGGGATTTACTCTTATTGAGTCAATAAGGTCACACACACACACACACACACACACACACACACACACACACACACATCCCTAATCAATCACTGGGGGTATAGAATCGCTGATGGGCTTAGGCCATTCGAGATACCAATAAGGTCAGTTCTCCTTAGCCATATGGCTACTACACATGATGAAAGATGAGTTCCACCAAGGAAAAGCTGGTCTATTATAAACACAGTAGTAGGGAAATTAACAAATAAACACTAACTATACATTACATAAATGTAGAAAGAAATAAATGAGATAATCCACAGACAGTGCCCAGCACATTAAAAAAAAGGACCTAGTAATTCAAGACAATTATTTTTACTTATGATAAATTGTTCAAAAGTTCCACACTTTCATACTCTAAATAGAACTGCAATACATATCTTCATACACAAATATCTGTGCTCATCTCAAGTTACTCCTTTATTATGGCTTCCTAGAAGTTAAATTACTAGGTGAAAAAGTACTTGATCTTTTTTTTTTTGCGGTACGCAGGCCTCTCACTGTTGTGGCCTCTCCCGTTGCGGAGCACAGGCTCCAGACGCGCAGGCTTAGCGACCATGGCTCACGGGCCCAGCCGCTCCGCGGCATGTGGGATCTTCCTGGACCGGGGCACGAACCCGTGTCCCCTGCGTCGGCAGGTGGACTCTCAACCACTGCGCCACCAGGGAAGCCCTAGTATAGTATTTTAATACATTAAAAACATATTCAGGGGGCTTCCCTGGTGGCGCAGTGGTTGAGAATCTGCCTGCCAATGCAGGGGACATGGGCTCGATCCCTGGTCCGGGAAGATCCCACATGCCACGGAGCAACTAAGCCTGTGCGCCACAACTACTGAGTCTGCGCGCTAGAGCCCACGAGCCACAGCTACTGAGCCCGTGCGCCTAGAGCCTGTGCTCCGCAACAAGAGAAGCCACCGCAGTGAAAAGCCCTCGCACCGCAACGAAGAGAAGCCCCTGCTCGCTGCAACTAGACAAAGCCCGTGCGCAGAAACGAAGACCCAAGGCAGCCAAAAATAAATCAATTAAATAAATCTGAAAAAAAAACCATATTCAGGTAATTAAAGAAAAATTTATAAAACACCTACACTAAAAGCCACACTTAATTTTTAAAAGTCCTTATATTGCTACCAAA